GGCTCTTGCATTTTCATTAGCAGCAGGTGCTTAACCCATGAGCCAGGAGGACTCCTTCTACATACTAAGGGTAGGTAACTCCTAGCTTAGCTCAAGGTGGAAGCTGAACCTCAAGGTGGAAGTTCAACAACTCCCTCCCTGGGAGATTTTGACAACTTAGTAAACAGAGTAGAGCAATACAGTGTTTTTAAAGTCTATGTTTCCACATAATACAGAGGTTCCACAATAAAAAAAATCAACTTGAGTGCTATCTGTACAGAATTATTTTATTCTAAGAGACACGGAGTAATTCAACTGCAGATAAGAAAGTGAGAGTAAAGTAAAGAACATCCGAGTGGAGAATTGGGTAAGGGTATGTATGTCAATCTAGGTAGAAAACAAGTATTTTTGCTCTTGGGGAAGTGACTTCCCATTTTAATCATCTAGCTAATAAGCATAGCTAAGTCAAATTGTGCTAGACAATGTTTTGTCTTAAAGAATTCCAAAAATACAATATAAAGTGGTGACAAAAAATAAAGTGGTGTAAGAGTTGTATGAGCCCCTAATAAAATGATTTAAAAAAAAAAAGAAAGGAAATATCTTATAATATGTAACCATAAATTTTAAATTGAGGTCATTTTGCTGTATTTTCAAATATACCTAAGTTGACAATGAATATGAAAAAAAGAAAAAAAGTGGTGTTCACAATATTGCTCCCGGCAACTTGATTGCTGTGTGACTTTACTGCTCAGCTGCTTGCAGGTAGTAGAAACGGAGACATCCCAGAAGTCTGAATCATCTGAATACCAACGTGGTCCTCTCCCGAGAGCCAGGCTTGCTTTTCTTCACACAACCGTCTCTGCCAGAACGCGAACTTGCTTCCAAAGGACTCCCAGCGGAGCGCAGCTGGTTCAGGCGCTGTGTCGAGGTGTGTCATTCTCTCTATGTTGACAGCAGTTGGTGAGCTAAATGTCTTGATAGAGGAGGTCGTATTTGGGAATATTATGAGGATCAATAGGGCTTTGGACAATAAGTTTCCCCCGCATGGCGCCTCGGTAGATTACTTCAATCAAATCTATGAAGTCTTGTTTGGTTTTGAAACTTCCCACAAACTTAGTGTGATCTGGGGACCTGAATAGTGTAACAGAGAAAACAGTTTCTTTCAGAGCTTTCAATAATTACATCAGAACAAATAATATGATAGTGCCTTTTTATAATCTGATTCTCATCTGGGAAGAAGACAGCAAGTGCAGCACATCAGTCCTTTGGTGACAATGGGCTCTTTGGTGGACAACTAACATGAGGTGAAAAGCAGCCACGTCCAAACCTGCTTTGAGAACAGCTCAGATCATTAGCAGTAGAGTTTCAGCAATGCCTTTTTGTTCTCGTTTTTTTGTTAGGTACTGTTCATAGCCTATTCACTAGTCATGCTCTCCAGTAGAGAGTATTAAATATATATGTGAGTGTATCTGTTGAGTATTACAAATATCAGGTCTTTTTGTAGAGATATTTTATATATGAAGAAAATCACCAGGGAGGCCAGAGGTCCTATTTTGGTGTACATTTTTCCAATCTTCCATGTATGTTTAAGTATGTGCATCTGTGTGTATATGTGTACACAC